CCTGGCTCCAGAGCAGAGGGGCTCCAGCCCTGGCAGCAGCTCCGGGGCCTCCTCTGGACTCTCTCCAGCAGCTCCACGTCCTCCTGCTGTTGTTCCCAGGGCTGGAGCAGCTCTGCAGGGGGGTCTCAGCTGAGTGGGGAATTTAAGGAAAAAGGAACACATCAATGAATGAAAAATCACAAAACCAAATGTAAAATAGCTGCTCCGGGGGAAGAAAACCGAACCAGTCAAGTACCTGCCGGGGTTCTTAATTAATAGTTTAACTCAGGAAAAGTTGCAGGATGTTTTCCAAGCAGCTCAAAGGTGGCATGTGCTCCACGGGCAACTCCAGAAGAAAACAGAGCGTTGTTAGAGGAGCCAGTGATGGATTATGGGATGGAGAACAGCCTTGGTCAAAGCCAGGGATGGCACCTCCGAGTGCTGCCCGTGGCAAGGACGGGGGAGGTGAAAGGTTTCCTGAAAACCATCAGGGATGAGGGGGAAAAAAGCCTCTGCTTTGAAGAGAGATTTAGGAGAGCGGGATTGTTACCTTAGAAACCAGATGAACGGGAGGAAATATGGGAAGAATATTGAAAATACCGAGTGGCTGATGGGAGGGAAGTGAGGAACCTCTGCCCGTTCCGTGGCACACGGAGAGAGAGGATGCAGGGAAGTTGCTGGGAAGCCACACAAACCCAGTGTGACACAGGGGGGCTTCCCAGTCTGGGGTTGTTTCAGGAATTTGGGATGTTGCTGGGGCTTGTTATAAAGACACGAGGAGGTTGGTGTGGGTAAAAAATCCTGTGGGCTTTTATAATTTATAAGGTTTAGGAAGTATTCCCAAAATAACCCAGAGCAGCTGGTGGCCAGGAAGGAGGGGAAGGGGAGCTGTGCCCAACTGGGCAGTTCCCAGTGAGGGGAGGGCAGGAATATGGCCAGAGAGGGAGATGGCAGGAATTTGGGGTCTGCTATGAGCTCATTTTGTAAAAGATATATAGAAAAGTGCATTTTAGTCCATTATTTTCAGGTACTTGTATATTTTTTCAGGGATAGGAGAATCATGGAGTTCATTGCACTGAGTTCAAAGGGAGGTGAAAGTCCTGTGTGGGAAACCTGCATGTTCAGGGATTCCCAGAATTGTTAAGGTTGGAAAAGAACTTTAAGGTCATCGAGTCCAACCATCAACCCACCACCCCCACCACCTTCACCACTGACCCATGTCCTCAAGTGCCACAGACACAGGATTTTTAAACACCTCCAGGGCTGGGCACTCCAAACCTCCCTGAGCAGCCCCTGCCAAGGCCTCCCCACCCTTTCCAGCACAAAATTCCTCCTCAGCCTCAACCTGACCCTCCCCTGGCCCAGCCTGAGGCCGTTTCCCCTTGGCCTGTCCCTTGTTCCCTGGCAGCAGAACCCGACCCCCCCCGGCTCCCCCCTCCTGGCAGGGACTTGCAGAGCCAGAAGGTCCCCCCTGAGCCTCCTTTGCTCCAGGCTGAGCCCCCCCAGCTCCCTCAGCCCCTCCTGCTGCTCCAGACCCTTCCCAGCTCCCTTCCCTTCCCTGCACACGCTCCAGCCCCTCGATATCTTTCTAGTCATATAAGGCCCAAAATTGGTGTTCAGGAAACGACTGGACGTGGCACTCGGTGCTCTGGGCTGGGTGACAAGGTGGGAGTTGGTCCCAGGTTTGACTTGATGATCCTGGAGATCTTGTCCAGCCTCAGGGATTCCCCCGCCGTGGGCACACGGACACTTCCCACAGAGTTATGTGCTAACAAGTGTTTAGGGCAGCTAATTAACAGCGGTGTTTTGTTTGACTCAGTACTCTTTTCACTTGTTATTGGCCTTATCGCTCTCCCAGTCAGTTCCCAGCGTGTTTGTGTTGGTTTGACAGAGCTTTTATTTGCTGGCGGGCTGGTGGAGCGGAGCGGTGATCCTTATCTCAGCCCGGTTCTCAGTTCCCAGGGATGTTTCATTTTCAAACAAAAAACCCTTCACTTTGTGCTAAGTGACAAGGCATCCATAAACATGAAGAGTCCTCTCACATCTTCCTTGAAAAGTCTTGCAGAAAAATTGATTCTGGGTCAGATTTTTATTAGAGTAAATATCAAGAAAATTTCGCGTCTGCAGCGTCGCCCCAGTTCTTTATTCTGAGGGTGAAAACTCGGGGCAAAATTCTGATTGTTTTGCAAATGTATTCAGGATGTCAAAGAGAATTCAAATGGAAACTGGTTGAGCATCAGGGTGTCGTTTTACCCAGAGATGATGTGTAGAAGCACCTCGTGCTGCAATGGCCTTGGGAGGAAAAGACTTGGGTGATGCTGGAGGTTAATCCATAGGATGATGGAAGGGTTTGGTTTGGAATGGATGTCAAAGTCCATCCAGTTCCACCCTTTGCCATGGGCAGGGACACCTTCCACTCGCCCAGGTTGCTCCAAGCCCCGTCCAACCTGGCCTTGAAATCCTTGGATGAGCCTTGCACGGCGTGTCCCCAAATGCCTTCGGTGCTCGTCTGCCTTTGTCCATAACCTGCTCCTGGGAGGGACCCCCGGGGTGGATGTTGTTGACATGATTGGCTCTGAACCCCCCCAGTTGCTTGGTGGGTCATTGGGGCCCCGGGAGGATCAGAAGGATCTGATGCACAGACATCACATCCCGTCCTTGGGAAGCCTCGGTGATGGACATTCCCTGGTGTTTTCCTTGTTCCTGCCTGTCTCTGTCCTCACCATTAGGGAGTTTTCTAACATCTGACCCAAACATTCCTTCCTGTGGTTGTTACACCACGTTTACACTGCTGTCCCACTCCTTCACAGAATCCCTGAGGTTGGAAAAGCCCTCCCAGCCCACGGATCCACCCTGGGCCCCATCCCCACCTTGT